CTGACCACTGAGGAACCGTGCTCTAACTAATCTTCCCTATAAAGATTGGTTTAAATTTACCAATTCAGTTCACAGTCAATCTCAGAAAAAAAATGACATAAAATTATTGAAAGGAAACCTAAGTCACTAAGGAAGTGAATTAGCCTTGCCAAAGCTATAAAGTCGTAGTAATAAAAACTTTAATCTTCTCAGCATTGCCACGACAAAGGTAAATTTTAGCTGTCACATCTACTGAGTTTCGTTATTAAAATGCTTTCCACAGCTGCACATTACAGTGGATGAAATTTATTTAGCTACTTATTAACAGATTATTCCCTTAAATATTCTCATTGAGTTCTGTTACTGTTTGTACCTTGATTCTCAGGTAACGGGGGAGGGGACATGGATGGTTTTGAAGTGTGACAGGTTTTTTTTTTTTTAAGTTGTAGGTGGACACAATATCTTTATTTTTATTTATTTTTATGTGGTGCTGAGGATGGAATCCAGTGCCTCCCACGTGCTAGGCAAGTGCTCTACTGCTGAGCCACAACCCCAGCTCAGTTGCAGTTTTCTAACATTAATTTTTGTGCATCCTACTTGTGTCCACACTCAGATTCTATCCTTTTCTTTTTGTTAAAATGCATGAAGCACCCTTGATTCTTCCAAAGACAAGGCACTATGACAAGACGCAGGAACTTCCTCCTCCTAGAAGAACTTCCTCCTCAACTAGACCATTCCCGCTGTGCTTTCTACAGGTGTGCTGTCATACGGTCACGTTTTAAAAACATATCTGCTTCGGGTCTTGGCACAAGACTTCTTGAGAAAGCTCCCTAAGGGCTGGTCTCTTTTTCTCCTCTCATTCTTCAGTAGGTCACTCCATGTAAACTTAGTCCTGATATTTCAATGAAATAGTTCTGTCAGTCACCAGACACTTCTATGTTTTACGTCTAACCATCTCCTTTCTGTTGTCTTCCCAGTCCCTCCATGATGTTAGACACAGATGGTCATCTGGTCATTGTTTTCCATGGGTTCCAATGGTCTACTTAGAGTCTTTTTTCAGACTTCTGCCCTGGCTCCATTGCCTTTTCTAATCTTCCAAATACTGTAGTGCTACTTATTTGTTTATTCTTTTCTCTTCCAACTCTTCCAAGGACATTTCATCCAGTGCTGTAGCATATAGTGCTACCAATATGCTCAGGACAACCAAATGAACTGTAGCACTGATATTTTTTCTACTCCTGACCACTTTCAATTACCCAATTGATTATTAGACATTTTAGCCTAACAGACATTTTATGTATAACACATACAAAGTTAAAGCTTGTGATTTTTATCCAGATTTAGCACTTCTAGACTTCCTCATGTCATGAATCACATAATCATTGATGCTCTTGCTCAAGTTCAAACCCATGAATCACCCATGATTACTACATTTAACTCCATCTAATTCTTAAGTAAATATTGTCAGTTTTTCACACACCATGTCCAAAGATTGTCTTTTTATCTCTAGATCCAATACCAACACTTCATCTAAGCCACCGTCACATCTGGACTGAACTAATTACTGCTTAAGACTTGCTATATATGAAGAACCTCTTTAAGCAGTTACATGCAGAGCTGTAAAATTTCACTTATTAACCATTCCAGCTATATTTAACCTCATTACATGGCAATGGTATCATTTATTCCTTACAATAGACTTCTTTCATAGACACTATCATAATCTTAATTTATCAGAGGACAATGAAGTGTGTTGAAGGTTAAATGGCCAACCCAAGTTCACACAGCTGCTACGTACAGAATCTAGATCCCGCATTTATAACGTGCCTGCTGGGCAGTGTGGGGAGATTCCTGACCTTCTTCAATATTCTTTCAGGATTGACCTTTTCCATATTGCTGTGTTGAACAATATCTCACCCACAAAGACTGCATCCATTTAAAATAAGCCAACGAGTGAGTTTCAACAGTTGTATACACCCATTAAAAATACTGTCACAATAAAAATAACATTTTCGCCATTCTTTGCAGCCTGTTCCCCATCCACACCTTTACCCTGCTCACCCTCTCAAAGCTAGGCAACCAATGACCTCATTTCTGTTACCAAAGATAAGTGTGAAATCATTACAGTTTGATCTTTAGAGGCCTGACTTCTTTGACTTGGCACCATAATTCTGATATTTGTCTCACATTCTGCGCACCAGAAGCCTTTCTTTTCCATCATTCAGGGGTATCTGTTGATGGATGTACTATAATCCCCCCTCCTGCTCTATTTAGGTTGTTTTTACTCCTGCCTCTTGGAAACAAAGTGAACATTTCTATACTTGCCATTAGGTGGATATGGTTTTCATTTTGAATGGATAAATTTTTAAAAGCAGTAAATTTCTCAAAGTGGCATGGCTGGGTAGATGGATAACATTTTAAACAACATTGGTGCACAGTATTATATTTTGACCACCAATACGAGTGTAGTTGCTCCATGTTTTCACTAACTCTAATTATTCTCAGTCTTTTGGGCCATTCTAATGAATGGGTAGTTTTGGATTTTGGTTTGGATTTTACAGACAACTAATGATGTCATGTGTTGTCTCATGCACTTATTTACTGAGCATTTAGAAAATGTTCATAATTTTTATCCATTTTTAATACTGGATTATTTATGTTCTTCTTATTGCATGGTCAGATTCATATATCCTTGATACACGTCCTTTATCAGATAAATGCTTTAAAAAATGTTTTCTGTTCTATTACTGGCCTTTTAATTTACAAATTGGGTCTTTTAAAGAGAAAAATATTTTAAATTTTGATGTAGTTCAAATCAGTTTAGCAAGTTTTTTTTTTCTTTCTTTCTTTCTTTTTTTTTGTCTTAAGAAATTGTTTTCTTATACCACAGGGGAAACAATCTCCTCCTATGCTTACTTTTGGGAGTTTTTGCATTTCATTTAGACCAGTGATCTTGTTTTGAGTTTATTTTGTCTATGGTGTAAAGTAAGATCAATGTGTACTTATTTACCTAGGACAGTCAGTTGTTCTAACAGCATTTGTTGAATAAAATTTCTTTCCCCATTGACTTGTCTTTGTATCTTTCTCTCAATTCAACTGATTGTGAAAGCACAGGTTCACTCCTGAACTTCTATTCCCTTTCACTGATCGTTTTGCATATCCTATTGCTAATATCTTATTGTGATGATCTCTGTAGTTTCATAGTTTGCCTTGATGTTTTTAAGCATAATAGTTCCAACTTCGCTCTTTATTAAACTTGCTTTGTTTAATCTAGATTATAGAGATTTCCACATAAAATGAGCTTTTAATATCTACAAAAAAAGACTTATGGAATGTTGATTAGAATTATGTGGAATGTATATGATTTTTTTTTGTACTTGAAAACTGTGTGTACTTTCCTATGTATACTCACTTTTGTGAATTAGATGTGTCCTTTGCACTAGAATTCAAGTTTTTTTTCAGAAGGGCAATGTCTGACTCTCTTGTATCTCCAAATCACCAACCAGGAGCAGAGGACCTGGCATGGATCAAAGATACATACCTCTTGTGTCCACATTACCAATCCTGATGGTTGGTTAGAATTCTACAGTGTGTCGAGTTTTCAGACAGAAGATGGTTGGGCCCAAACAGTAGATAGTAAAGGAGGAGTGTGGGACGTGGGGGTGGGAGGACAGGTGCATTGACTAGCAAGCTCACGTTAATGTAATTCATTGATCAGCAGGCAGGGTCTCTGACTAGGATTTCACAAAAAGCATAGTTATGTTCAGTCCCTCCACCTAGCAATGATAAAATAAATATCACACATTTGTATTTCAAATCCTGGAAATTCTTTATTCACAGGTTTAATCTTATTGCCAAAATCATAACCATAATAATCACAATGCAATACCAGTAAGACTTTAGAACTCAAACTCTTTTCCTGTAGTTAAAATAAGAATTGTGTTAGCTGTTTTATGCTATCAGAATTCCATAACCCTTAGAGACATGTAATATAATAATTCTAAAATCCATCCATTTGTGAGAAAACCAAATGTCCAGGAGCTAGTAAGTGAATAGGGACTTGAACTTGCATTTTTTTTTTATAGTAAATCTCCATTAATACATAGAATAGCTCATACAGTTACTGAAATTCAAATTCTAAGCTCTCTGATTAGGTTCAGATATAATGTATGTGACTGTTAGCTATTTGTGTAATAGAATTGTTAGTATATTACTATAAATAATCTTCTGTTAATAAAAGGAGAAATTAGAACGTATAACATATAAAATAAAATTCCACACTTTCATGACATCAGCCGGTAAGTTTCTCTAGCTCAGCACCAAAGACAGATTAGAATCTTTACTGAGCTTTCCCGAGCACCTACAATCAGCAATACTGTTTTACAGTTCTGAGTTCTGATCAGGAATCCTCCATATTGCTGCAAAATACTGAACTGTGTTTTGATGTGATCCCCAAAGATAACTTTAGGTAGCATATGAATTATTACTTGGGGTTATATTTTACATTCTTTAATTCTTAGGAAATTGATATTTTACTCCTTGAATTTATGGCACATTTCTACATCTCAGCACTTTCGATGATCATTTCCTTGTTAAGGAGCTGACTAAACACCAAGTGCCATGTACATTAACAATATCATTAGCACTGCTAAAACTTGCCTCAAAATTTTATCTCCTAAATATTGCCCAGTGTTTAAATCAAAGTAACAAATGCTCAATTAACCTGAACAGAGGGAAAATGCCTACTCAGCACCTTTGAAAATGATCTGGTTGAGTTATGAGTCATCTCATTTTGCAAAGTAGCAATAAAAATGAGTCTTTCATTTGCAGAGGTACCCCTGGCATTTACAACAGATGGTTACAATAAAGAAGAAACATAACTTTTGAGTTTTATCAGAACAGGGGCGTTTTATCTTGACCATGAATCTTTGCCTCTGCAGCTTTCATCTATCAAGAAAATATCTCCACGAGTTGTCAAGGGTGTAGCTATTCTCCCAGGGACTCCCAGGACTCTGACTCACCTTATGAAAGTTTCTGAAATAAGCTGCCTTTTCATCTGGAAATTTTTCTAACCTTCTGGGTCCTTTGCTGGAAGCCTTCTTGAAAACCAGCCAGCATCGTCTGAAAATCTGAAAATAAATAAAAGAATCCCATTATCTCTCCTTTTTATATGCTCTTAGTGGCACCAAGAGGTTTATCTATTCAATTAATCCACTGGGAGTAAATTTTTAAAAGCACACTTACTTTATAGAGTAACTTTGTCTTTGAATGATAAGCATGTTACTAATTAAAATTGCAGCAAATTTTTAAAATAAGATATTTCTTATAAAAGAATTTCTTTGTGTAATGAGGTTGTCAATGTGTTCAGTAGTTTTCAATGTAAATAAATTCCCAGGGTTTCAAGACCATATACAACCTTTATTCCCACTATCCTCAGGACAGATAATTTTCTGTTTTCTATGCTAGTGCAGTAGCAGTTCAATAAGCTTAAGTGAAGCACTTCTGTATGACTCAATTTTCTACCTCTGGAGGAAAAAAAAACCATTGCATTTAAAAATTAACTTATCTTGTAGGATTTTAGGCTTTTTTTTAACAGATGCCCATATGTTAATTTAGTTAACAGAAAGTAATTTGTTTTTATAATGGGCACATCTGTCTCACTCTTTTATACTTTTTTAACTAGAATTTTATTAAGTACTTAGTATGTACAATAAGTTTCAGATTTTATATACACATTTAATCATCAGAACTAGTAGATAAAGTAAGTACTATTAACTTCATTTTAAGATAGAGTTAGAGATAATGCAAGATTGGAAAACACAACTGTATGTCTTTACACTTTGGTTTAAAAAAAATGACTAATAATTGCACAAACAGAAACCGTTATTTCTGGAACTTGCCTTTAAGTTATGAACTAATCACTCTTGGAAGTTTCCATCATCTGTCACCGGGTTCTCACCTATCACATGCCCTCCACAGGCCTTTTCGGAGGCAAGGCAGTATAGTCTTTTATTCCAGTAATGAAACAGGTCTGGGAATGCAAACTGGCCATGAATTTTAAATTTCAAAATGTATCCATTGTTTGCTGGAGTGAAATCTCTCCACAGCCACAGGAAATTCGTAAAAGGAAATTTCAGAAACTTAGGTCACTATGTTTATCTTCTCTGTCTTTATTTAAATCGCAAAGTTGTCACAGTACACTTTGCATTAGAAGAGGATGAATACTGCAATTCTGTTGACTGATTCTGGGGTGCATTGCTTCTTTGCTAACAGACAGCATCTTTCTTGGTAAAAGGCACTTTTAGTGCAGTTGATAGAGACTTCTCATTGTAAAGCAGAATAAGCAGAATAACAGCACGTGCACTTGACGGCTCTTGCTGTCTTTCTTAGACCTGGGAGCCTGGAGGTGCATGTCCAGGACCACCCAGAGGTTCCTGCATGGGAGCACGTCTGTCCATCTCTGCTTAAGATCCAATGGATGTGCCTTCCCTCTCGAGTGCTTTCCCTCTGTGTACATGGAAACGAGGAGCTACTTTGAAACTCTGGGTGTTCTTCCCACACTTATGCTCAGCACATGCTACATCTTTGGGTCCCTTAGTGATGCCCACTCCCTAAGTAAAACAATAGCAAAGAATATATCAATGTGTTTGGGCTATGATCTTAGTATGTGGTTTTTTAGCTTCAATGGATTCAATTCTATATCGATTTTTATTTGGTGTTGGAGAATTCTGACTTTAAATTTAAAAACATATTTATGTTTTAAATAGTAACATTTAGAAAATGTGAACTTAGAAGAAACAGCTTGGCATAGTGGAAAATCCTTAAAATTTTGGGATCAGACAGGCTTGGATTTACATCCTGGCTAGCTGAGCAGGCTCAGATTACTCAGTGTCCAGCTAACAAAGGAGAGCTCCCCAAGAGAAGCAGGGAGGATGTGGCAAGGGGGACCCATGTTCTGTGCACGGAAGGTTGCCACGAGGATCTGCTCATTTTGCTTACAGAGCAGGTGCAATTTTCTGATCATGACAAAACTCTACCTAGTGAACGCCTTTTTCCTAATGAGGCAAAAGCCTAACAAATATTCAGAGCCAGAATATTCAGATGCAAGTGTTCTCCATCCAGAAAAATTAGAGGATCACATGAAAGTTTTAAAAGATAAACAGAAATTATAGTAATGATCTTCCAGACATGAACAGTGCAACTGTAAAGACGGGACTTGGAATTCCAAGTCAACTCAGCCCCATGTGAGAGCCACAGTGGGCAAGTCACTGAGCTCTCTAAGCAGGTGTCCCTACATTAGTTTGGGGAAAACAATGTCTATATTATATGATTATTGTGAAGTGAAAAAGAAATTAAGCATATTAAATTAATCCCACAGTGCACACAGAGTCACCAATAAACATAAGTGTTACAAACAGACAGGATGCTCTAAGCAGCTGGCTTTTCATAGTATCCAAAACCGTCTACACACCCTGCATGTGTCTGCACATATTACACATGGCAGTATGTTTACATATATGATATGGTAAAAATGGACTTGTACCAAATATACTTTTAAAGTTTTCAAAGATTCCATGAGTTATGGGAACTATGATATACATGATATGAGTAGAAAAAACTCTTTAAATTATTCCATTCAATACAAATATTAATTCCTGCTAATATCTTAGGATACTTCAGGTATTGTTAATTAATATAGCTATTCATATTTACATATACCAATACAGAGTAAAACAAAATGCAATTCCTTCCAAAAATGACTCTCTCCACAATATACCATGAAGTAACATACAGAGAGCAAGTCTTTTCACTCACTCTAATACAATTTGAAGCCTTGTTGTAGAGCTGAGGGTTTTATGTTATAATGTCCAAGAACAGAGAAAAACTCAATTTCACTGTAAGTTCTGTTATTCTTTAAAGGCCTTGCCCCACAGAAGTTATTTTAACGTCTCCAAGACTTAACTTCCTCATCTATAAACTAAGATCAAACTCCATCATGACTCTTTTAGGGTTAATAAGAGATAGATAGCCTGCAGAAAGCGTCTAGCATATGCTTGGAAAGGAGTCTACAGTCTGATCTGAAACTCTTGGGTTTTGGGTGCTGAACTGAACTATGTCCCCCCAAATTCACCTACTGAAGCCCTAACTCCTGGTGAGATAGTCTTTGGAGATGGGCCTTTGGGGGATAATCCGGGTTAGATGGAATCACGAGGGGTGGGCCTTGATGGTGGAAGCAGAGTTCTCTTGAGAAGACCCCAGGGCGTTTGCTTCCTCTCTCTCCCTGCTGGCTCACAGAGAGGCCCCGTGTGCACTCAGTGAGAAGGCAGTTGTCCCTAAGCCAGGAAGAGGCCATCACAGAACCCAATCACACTGGCACCCAGATCTCAGCCTTGCATACTGCCTCAAGTCACCTGATGTAGGGCACTTTGCTGCGGTAGCTGAGCTGATTAAGGAGAAAAAAAGAGTATATATATGATATATGTATATATATGATATATATATATATGATATATATATATATATATCTCATATATATACACACACACACAATATGTCTGTATCTATCAGCACTATCTGTATCTATATTAACAAAGGTGAAATCCTTTTTCCCTTTACTGCTCATAGTTCATGTCAAATGAAGCCTTTGATACTCCCAGAAATGCACACAGAGCTACCTAGTGACTACAATGCCGCATCTGGTATTACCATAGTTAGTTTCTATTTTGGAGTGAGCTAAACATGAGCCAGAAAACACAAGCATTCCTGATTTGAGAAGACTGACTTTATTTATTTATCTGTTTATTCTTTCAGTATGGGGATTTAACCCAGGATTGATTTACCACTGAGCCACATACCCAGCCCTTTTTATTTTTTATTTTGAGACAGGGTCTTAGTAAGTTGCTAAAGGCTTTGCTAAGTTGCTGAGGCTGGCCTTGAACTTGTGATCCTCCTATCTCAGCCTCTCCAGCCACTGGGATTACAAGTATGTGACACTGCCCCTGGCTAAGATGGACTTTTTTTTCATTTATTTTCCATATTTTTATTGGTGCATTATAATTATGCATCATGGTGGGATTTGTTGGTAAATGTTTATGCTTGCACACAATATAACAATACAATTTGACCAATATCATTCCCCTGAATTTAGCCTTTTCCACTCCTCCTCCCTCCTTTTGGTCCCTTTCCTTTACGCTACCCATCTCCCTCTGATTTTCATGAGATCCACCCCTACCCCCCACCCAACACCACCTTTATTTTCGTTTTTACTCTCCAGTTTCTACACATGAGAGAAAAGCCTTAGCTTTTTGATTTTGGCTTATTTTGGTTAACACAATGTTCTCAACTTTCATCCATTTTCCTGCAAATGCAAAATCTCATTCTCCTATATGGCTGAATAAAACTCAACTGTACATATACCATTTTCTTTATCCATTGATCCATTGGTAGACACCCAATTTGGTTCCATGGTGTGGCTACTGTGAATTGTGGTGCTACAAACATGGGTATGCATGTATTGCTATTGTATGCTGATTTGAATTATATAGGATAAATACTAAGGAGCAGCATAGCTGGATCACATGGTGCGTCCATTCCTAGCCTTTTGAGGAAGATTCATACTGATTTCCATAGTGGTTGTACTAACTTACAGTCCCATCAATAGTGTGAAATACCATACAGAGAAGAAATCAAAGCCATATTCTAGCGATGAACAATTCTCATTTGAAGACTAGCTGAGCAAATCTAAGCAAATGAGAAATAGGACCAAATTAAATGTTAGAAATAAGTCAAAATGGCTGGAATTATTAAACACCTTTCTATAATAATGATGAATGTAAATGGTCTCACTCTATAATTAAAAGACATAGGCAGGCTGGCAGGTAGAATGGATTTTTTTTTTAAAAGACTGAAACCTATGTTGTTTGCAAGGGACTAACACTATAGACAAAGAGCCATTGGTTGAAAGTGAAAGGATCGAAATTGGCCACCTTGTAAATGAAGACTGAAAACAGTCAGAAGTAGCTACTCTTATATCTGACAAAGCAGACTTCAAGTCAAAACGAATCAAAAATCTCTAAAAAGGCCATTTCATAATGATAAAGGGAACAATCCAACAAAAAATATAACACTA